AGCAGTCGCTGCGCGTCATCGACAGTGACCGGTACGAAGTTGTACCAATGGTCGGTCTCGCGGGGGTTGGAGTCCTGCGGGACCGGAAGGAGGTGGTAGGGCCATCCTTCAATTGGTGGACGCGGGCTGCGTCCGTCGTGCGAGTAGTTCGCAGGACGAGGAGGGGGGTCGAACGGTTCGCCTCGAATCGCCTGCTGGCGACGTCGACGGTCGGCCTTTTTCCGAACGTACTTCTCGTCGACGAGGTCGGCCTCATATTCCTCTCCGCTGGACAACTCCTCGAAGTCCTGGAAGTCTACCACCGGTCCTCGACCAGTGGCGGGGTGACGACTGGGGGAGCCTAATGACTCCGGGGACGAGGCTGGCGGCATCGCACTAGATGCTTGGTGGGGGGTCCTTGGTGGACCAGCATTGAACGCCGATGCTGATGAGGGCTGCGAGGTCCGTGACGGACCAGCCATCGGCATCTAGACTCATTCTGGGGAGAGGTCTCACAGAGCAGGGTTGGAATTTGGCTCCAATATTCCAGGAGCATGTACATATCATATAGGAGAGGCCCTGTGCAGAATATTAGCAAAATCGGCGGACCGGTTTTGGAGCTACAGCCCTGGGAAGCAGCTGCACTTATATTGGTGCATTGCTGCGTATCCCCTTGGATTGGGGCTTTGAAAACTCGTGGAGGGGTAGCAATACGCTATATTGAGGTATGTACAAAGTTTCAGAACAGTCGGATCAGAAATGGGCGCTTGGCAGGGGGGAAAAGTGCGCAGATGAGGAGGAGCATAACTTCCCAATGTTCTTTGAGGGCATATGTTCGGAATCGAGTATATACAATCTATCCAGCATACCCCCAGGTATGAGGGCACAGAATTTGGGGCGGAGCAAGTGAGCGTAGCATGAGCTATGGGGCAAACAATGTTAACTTTCCTTGAGCAGAGGGCCAACCGGGAGGGCTGTGCCAAATTGAGTATATACATCATGTTAAGGATGCATTAGACTGTGCCTGTGCAAAGAATCAGGATATGAATATGGTTGCCGGAGGTTTGACGAGGGCAACATGTCGCTCAAGGGCAGGCTAGGTGGGGAACCTCTGACAACAGGCAGGGATAATGACATTTGAGTATATACATTCTATTCAGAATCCTTGGGGCTGCATTACTTCAGACTTTCAGGGCAATTGGACCTGGTCTGGCTGCTCCACATGCCTGTTGGAGTTTGGGGACATTGCAGGCAAGCCGTGCACGAGCTCGTGGTGTGGCAATTAGGGGCACAATCATTTCATTCCAGTGGACTCCTGTCTTGTCTCGCTTTATTCCTAGTCTTGTGCTGATTCATGGCGGCATGTCTGCATCTTGCAGACATGCGATCTACAATATATTCTTGTTACGTATACTGTACTTATATGCGCCTTTCGCGCTTGCTCACCTCAGTCCTGCAAATAGAGACTGAGGTGAGCATTATGGTATTGTCTTCTTATGCGCTTTGTGGCCCTCGCCGCATCCACTCGTTCCTTGCCTGCTCACTCATTCTCGCCCGCGCCACCCTGCTCGCCCCGTGGACTCACCCTCGCGTTCTCACCCACTGCGGCTCAACCTTCGTCAGTCGCTAAGCTTTCTTCAATTTGTCTTCTCTTGGCTAAAACTGTCATCTACCTTGAACAGCCGCCCGACCACACATTTGTGTCGGAGCACGCAATCCGAGCGCAGGGCGCATTGCGGGCGAGGTGCGGCGCGCGCTCGCATGCACGTCGCCAATGCTTCGCGAGCGGGACCTGCACGATGTTGCGCATGCCGCTGTTCGCGACCTATCCTCACCCGCCTATACCTACGGCTTCGATACGATACGCTGACTCATTACTGTACCCGCGCACATGCGCGCTCTTGGCCTCGTCCTGTTTCTTTCTACCTACGCCACTGAGGCACTGACATACGCTCATTCTCGATTTAGATTTATCGTTTCTTTATTTAGTATATGTTCTCGATTGGTGTCCGCCGCCTCTCGCACATGCCGCCGTTCGTCGGCCTACCGCCCCTCACATATACTTGATACCTTGCGTTCCGACCCCCTCAGTCTTGCACTTGTACCACAAGCGCGCCGTACTGAGGGTGAGTCTACTTACATTCCTTTTGCCCGTCATGGACTTAGCACTGATGTACCGGGCTCGCAGTCTTCTCTGTTCGCCCACAGGTACATAATACATTCAGTCTTGCACTCGTACCACGAGTGTGCCGTACTGAGGTCTTCTCTGTTTGCCCACAGATCCCGCTGCACACTCCGTCAATTTGTGGACCGCAAGGCTTTCATTCTCAAGCTTGAGAAGGCGCTGTATGGGTTGAAGCAGGGCAGGCAGAAGTGGTACAAGACACTGTGCGCAGGCTCGGGAAACTGGGTTTTACAAAGGGCTGAGGTGGACTGGGGTATTTTCTACAAGCACAACGGTAAGCACATGCTCGTGTTCGCGGTCCATGTTAACAACTGCCTCTTCACAGGGAGCTCACGACGTCTCCTTGACAAGAACAAGGCGAAGAACAATCCCGAATTCATTGTTCATGAAGATCCACATGTGCAGTCTGTATGGTGCGAGTGTAGAAGTTGCTTTGTATATTATTCCTGCGATACAGACTGTGATTATTGTTCTATATAAGACTTGCAAGAAGGTTGAGGGGAATATATATCAGTGTAGCATATATCAATCTGAGTCCATGTCCTCATCCATGTGATCCGATCCCATAGCCCATTCAATCTCCAACTCCTCAGCTGCATCATCTTCGTCAGCTTCAAGAGCTTGGTTGTCCATCCTGTCCTCGGCATCAACCATCTCTACATCATCATACCCAACCCATTCATCCTCATCATCTTGATGGTCTTCAAGGGACACGTCTTGCTCAGCAGCCTCATTAGCATGACCTGCTGTGCCAGACTTGGTGACTGGTCGGGGAGGATCACGTGTGTTGCGGGCAGCTGCAGAACGCTTGGAGTTGGCCCTCTTGGCGCTCTTCTGTCGCAAAGCATTCTGGAACTTGCTGATGGCGCCCATGTCACTGACACCGTGGCTGTTGTTGCTGGATATGCGTTTGAGAAAGCCTGCTTTTGAGAGGGTGACCCGGCGGGTGCTGTTGCGCTTGCGCTGTCCAGTTCCAATCGACACCATGCGGTAGTATTGGGGATTGATGACGAGACGGACACTGTCTTTGTCCTGCTTCCACAGGAATCCAAGCGAGGTAGGGGTGCCAGCGAGTGCATAGGGAAGAAGTTGGAGATGTGAGAA